GCAGCTCTTCTTCTTGTGGTATACTTAATCTCAATTAATCAACCTCAGGTGCGCTGCAGTGATATTTCTAACTGACAGATTCAAGGCCAAAGGGTTAAGGTCAAAGATGACTTTTGTGATTATTACAAATTAGTAGTAGTTCACAGGTAATACTAGCCCGACTACAGCTTATGTTACTTAGCTTTTTGTATAATTTAGTTCATAACATCTACTTAATTAGATAAACAACCATAAAGAACATCATATAGATCAAACTAAATATACTAAAATAGAGATACACAGGGTGTTTGATGCTCCAGATGCCTCGTGTCACTTAATTAAAAAATAACTAATTCAAATTCAGAAAAAAAACGTTTAAATTTAAAACAGGACAAACACAGCAGAAGAATGGACTTCTCAAATTTGTGGCCTCAATTAATAATGTCAGCTTTAGACAAACTTTGAATCAGCGCCAGGAAAAACAGAAGAACTACCTCTCGTGTTTATAAAGTTATCTTTACGATAAACAGAATTCCTCCCAAAATTACTCCGGTCATCCGAGCTGACTCCAGCATAACACTTTTCTGCTCTGGCTTCAGTTCAAATGCAACATAACCAGAGGAAAAAGGGGGGAAATGTGCAGGGAAGGTGAGATGTGACCACCTCTATCAGATACCAGCAGCCACTCTGTCGGCCTGACGTAACACAAACACTATTCAGCTCGTTGGGAGCCATTAAGCGAGGTGGAATGTCCACAGGGTCCGGCTTCACACCCGGTGCTCCGCTGCCCTTATCAGCTGTGGAAATGGGTGTTTTCCACATTGTTCAGCACTGCTGTGACAGGCTGGGCTTGATGCCTAAAAACCCGACGGAGGTAAAAGGCAGCTTTCCCCCGGTCAGAGAGGAGGAAGGGGAGGGCAGATCACGGAGCCATGAGAAGCAGTGCAGAGCTGCACAGATATAGAACTCTAAACGCCAATATTTGAATGTGACTTAGATAAGTCTTTTATGTATTAAACCATTTTTGTAGTCACCCGATACTCTCATGTGCCACCAACAGCTTTCTATGTGAATCACCCTGCATGGATTTTTCCATGAAAACTGGAAGCAAAGCAACACTAACTAATGCCAGCTTAGAAATGGAGTCTATTAATCACCAACAAATTACCGGCTCCGAGAACAACACAGAATCTAACAAAAACTCTGCATACAGGGAAAAAAAATCTGTCTTTAATTTTAGTCTTTGTTAATTTGGTCTACCCTATAATGAAACCTGTGACTGCCTGTGTTTATACTAAACTTCTGAAATCTTAAAATCTGACAAATACCAACCAGTTTCCTGACAGCTAAAACGAACTAAGAAAAAACCCCTAAACATTCTTAAACTAATAAATGAGAAAACTCAATCTGAAAATGAAACTGGAACGCTAAAAACTAATAGACACTGTAGACTAAACACTGGACCTTTTTTTAAAATGTACAATCAGCTCAAAAACTGTAATTCCTTCAGTAGAAATCAAATTATAATTAAGGTTATCTGTAATTTAAGCTTCGCGCTATCAGACCAATCCTGATTAAAAAGCCGTCAGAGTGTCGGTCCAGAGCTGAAAAGGACCACAACAAGCGTGAGCCAAAGTCAACAGGACCGCTCAGCCCCCAGAGCGCAGGAAGTCAGCTCTGACAGAAAGAAAAACACAGCAGCTATAGGCCTGGTGGGAAGAGCCGCGTTGTGCCTTGATGCTTAGCGAGGACCTTATGGACCCTTGAATTAAAGCAAAGATAAGAGCAGGGCAGCTTTTGTTTCCTCCTGACCTCTGCTGCATGTCTGTTTGAACCAGTGATAAGAGGCACAATGAAACCCAGCAATAAGAAACATCTAAGGCTCCCAAGGCTAAGGCTGAGTGATTGATAACCCCAGTGGGAGGATGTTAGGGTCACTGTGCAGGTGTTAGGCACCATGCGTACCTGCTGTGATCGTGTCCCTGTCCTTTAAACTTTGCTCTTCCACGCTCGCCCGCAGCTGGATCTCAAAACGCCTGGAGAAGCCATCCTTCGGCTTCCACAGCGACTGCAGCATCAGGGGCCTCTCGCTGTCACCCACAACCCTAAAGCACTCTCTCTTCCACTGGTTATCAGCCCCCATCTGGCCAATAACGTCGCACAGCACGTAGTTGTTGGGGTCTTCTTTTTCCAGACAGTACCTGAAGAGAAAAAAACAGAGAAATTAAGCATTAGCAATAAGTCTGGAGGATGTTTTTCACACTGAAGCCGTCATAAATGTTTCTGATTTCTAAGTTTCCCCCTTTTTGTCCTCAACAACTGAGTTTTTTTAAACAGGCGATGTTTAATTCTCACATGTTAAAATCTAGTTTGACCTAAAAGTAGCACTACTTCCCTTTTACTTTGTTTCTTTTAGGAATAAATCTTATTGCAAGGACTCAACAACATGCTTTAGGACCAAGAGAAAACCTCTTACCTTTCCAAGGCCTGCTTCACCAGCTCCTTTGCACTGGACTGAGTGGTAGCCAGCACACTCTTGTAGTTGGTCCCCTGGCAGATGTCACTGCCAAAGATCTTCAGGATACCAGGAATGGACATTTGGCTGGATAGCTCAGCTGGGTCGTCCACAACCTGGAGGTCTCCAGACAAGCTCCCGCCACTACCACTCGCCACCTGGACATGCCGTCCACCGTCTCTCAGGTCGGGGCTTTGGTTGAACACAGTGGAAAACCTGTTGTTGTGGCGGCGGATTTTGCTCTTGGCTGGCTGCCGGACGCCAACGCTCTCAGCAGAGCGGACAGTGCTGTTCGAGTTGTTGGACCTGATTGGAGTGAGAGGACAGAACACTAAAAGATCCTGCACGTGAACCATGATCTGTCTCAAGTTCTCCACTTCAGACCCAAATTTAGAACTGAAACAAACCAGGATTTTGTTTTTACGGTTATCTAAACTCATCAGCTAATTGTTTGGTCTCTGTGAACCGATTTAAACCTTTACATAAGTCATTATGTTTCCTTAATCAATAGACAACTATGTTATTTTCATTTATAGCGTTTCTAAAGAAAAAAATAAAAATAAAAAGCAGAAATACAGTCATAAAATCTAACTGAAAAGAAAACATGGGCCAAAATACTACATATAAAAAGTCATTACTAAGGCTGTGTAATTACTCTATTAATTAATGTAGTTGCAATTAAAGCTATAACTTCGTTTTTTTTCTCATTATAGGTCTACTAAGACCAGATATAACTCATTTATCCTTTAGTACAACAGCTCAAAATAAAGTTAAACGCAACGTAAATGAAATTAAATGTTAACTTATTAACAATATTTCCCCCATAGTCTTAATTTCTAATATTATCATCATTACAAGCATTAATCATGCACATCTTTATATTCATCTCAACATCAAATCACTTAATTTCTTGGTGCAATGGTATAAAATGCAGATATAGCAATATAAATTATGTCTTAATGTGCAAAGTTATAACTGGAGCTGGCTAATGCGTATACTTAAAACGATTACATCTTCTAAAACTAATGCTGCTGCGATTATAAACCTTTATGTTTCTACTGGAGGTAGAAAACAGGGCAGTTCTTGTTTCCCACCGTTGCCAATAGCATTTATCGTAGGTTGGAGTTACTCTCCAGTATTCTACACTGTAAGATTACTGCTGTAGTAAAGTGGCGATATGTAAGTAAAACTAATTAAAGTAGATTGGATTAAAGCATGTAGAGACTTACTGGACAGATCCATTGCTGGGTTTCCTTCCCAGTTTGGCCAGGCGCCTTTTGGGAGAGCGGATGAGTAAACCCACGGGAAAGTTCAGGGTTTGTTTATTTACGTGGCTGCTTCTCTCCTCCGAAATCATTATTTTTAACGTTTTTTCAGCTTCTACATAAACATGGCGAACATGGATTTATTCACAGATAGTTTTCACAATAAGAAGCGAGCGTAGTCCACTATTTCGACTCCCAGAAAATCAGGAAAATGTGTGTAAGTACTCCAACAGTGTATCGGCATCCATGAGAGAAGTTCACATTCCCACATATGGTGAAGGAGAACCAACTTCAAGCTGCTAAAATCGGACCGCTGGAGGGTAAAATCCAAACTGGAGTCGACGTTAAGGAGGAAATACAAAAAAACAGACGCTTACGTTGCTTTTTATCCGTTTCTGAGCTGTAAAACGGGTGAAATCAAAGCCAGGTCCATGATAAGAAAGCCGTTAACTCCGTCCGGAATTCTGAAGCGGACTGAATGAAACTACCTGCTGCTGCACGAGCCACTACAGCAACACGTCACCGCGGCGTCACGGTAAGGAGCGAGGGGGCGGAGCTAATCACAGCAACACGGGCATACACAACTGTCCTTCCTACTTTGTGAGGACCTGCGGGCACGTAAAGCGGAGTCTCACTTCTTTTAGTCTAATTAGTTAGCTAGTCTTTAGTCTCATCATACTACTTGCATAATACTATTAACCTGCCATCAACGTAAGCACTAAAACCACGACTAAACCTTTAAACAAGCGCCTGAAAGTGAAAAACAGAAACGTTTTAATGTCCTCAATAGCTTGGTTTTAAATCAGGATCGGTCCCCACAAATGTATAGAGACAGGTATACACATGAACACACGTTACTTTATATCTATGAGAATCTCATGCTCATTGTCCTGGTAACTCCACTACACTTATATATGCAAATAGGAGTGCCCTTTCATATATTTTTAAAAATGTAATAGCAATATTTTAAAAAAAAAACAACATTATTTTTGTTTTTTTGTTTTACTGGGTCCAACAAACAGATTAGCGAAACAAGATGATATAACTAAGTTATATAACTAAGTTCATTAAAAAAAAAACTTAAATTAACTTTGGAGACTTTTTGGCAACGTTAAGGAGTAAATAATTAACTAAGGAATATTACTGAAAAATGGATGTTTTAATTGAAATGAGGGAACAATAGTAATATAGCAAAGATTCTTTAAAGAGTACAGGATATAAGGTTATTTAAGCATTATGAATTCTAATTTGTGAGAAAGAATAGAGTTTTACCTGACTTTTAAACCTGTAATTTTAAATGCTGTTATTTTTGAATGTAAATTATAGGTTTGTGTGTCCTGGAAATATTTAAAAATGATACCTATGAAATTGCTAAATCTGAAGCGTCACTCTCAATTGTGGCCAATTTATGTTCAAAGAGCACCATCTAGTGGCAGGAAATTGCCTTGCAGCTACATCAGGACTTACTAAATAAAAAGGCTTCACTTCATCTTATTCCCATCTTTAACCTTTATTAAATACTGCTGTGGTTCATTTAAACTGTTTGTAAATACATTATTGTTGTTTTCAGTAGATTTAAGAGTATTTATATTAGTGCAGTGATTGTCACCAAAGGTTCTGTGTTCAATTTCTGCAACAGTTCATCAATTAATCAATAAATTAAAGGTGCAGCAGCTGCTTTGGTGGCTGATAATCCATGTTTACATTCGTTTTTGTTTATGGGTGTATTTTCAAATACTGTAGATGATTACAGCAGAATACCTCCATGTAAATACACATACCTGAGAGAATGCGGTTGTCCAGGTTCAGCCTTAAAGACAGGATGAGGCACCTACTACTGATGTATGAGACTGTGTATTGACCTGATACCAAGTAAATACACAGCAATGGACACTCATAATAGCAGTTTATGTAGGGGAGAGCAGCATGTCATGATTTATGAAGCAAATGCATCAGCAGTATGCTTAATCTGAGCTGGTCATTGGTTAGCAGACAAGTGACCATCACAGATACAGTCTGTATCTGAGTTAGTTAAACAGAAGAAGGTAGATCCAAAGAGAACAAACCTCTCTATAGCATTTCTTCTTATGTGTAGGACAAACTTGCATGGGCACTCAGAGGTAGGAGGCACCAAGTCAAAAAGACTTTCATAGAGTCATACATGTTACTGGATGCATATATATTCACATTATACAGCTACATAAGAGTTCCAGTACATTTTTCATTTGAATGGATCTTGTCACGCAAAGGGCAAAATTTTAATGCATTATCAATTTTCCTTATAAATGGAATTTAGTTCTGCAAATATTTACTCATTTTACATTTAACTGTGTAAAACAAGCACCTTTTCAGAAATGCTGAGATGATGGAGGGACATGCTGGAGGATATACATCTGTCTCTCTTGCTCCTTCACATTTTTGCAAAATGGGTGTGAACCCACTGATGCCAACTATGCAACAATTAGTTTTTCTGTGCCTTATGGTGTAATTAGCCAGTACAGCAATATTTTACAATACACACCAGTCACCCCTCATCTGGGGCTCTCCTCAGCTCTTTCCGGGAGAGTGGCACGGTTGCCCCTCTGTTGGTCTTCCTTGGTCTCTTGTGCTCTGAGGGCCTCTGGATGTCTGGAGCCTGGATCTCCTCCATACCTGCTTCATGCCCTGGAGGACGGGGCTATGGCCCCCTGCACCCTCTAGCAGATCATTACATGAAGGAACCTTTTAAATAAAAGCGCGCTCAGGCACACAGGTGTACACACGGGTGCTCACAGACACAAACTACACCCTTTTTGGCTCCTACCTCAAAGCACACAGTGTGCTGTCAATCCTACGTGCTGCACAATAATATTCAATATGTAGTATTTACTGTTATATTCACATAGATCATCGCGATGATGTTGTTTATTATATTTATCTCTTTTTTGCTTGTTTTCTCTTTTTTCTTTGTCAACAAGTGATCCAGGTGATTGATATATATTTTTTTTGCCCTTTATCACCGTTCCTCTTCCCCGCTGTTTTTCTTTCCCTACCTCTTTTTCTTTCTCCCTTTTCTTTCCCCAAGTCATGTCTGTCCTGTGTGTAGCAAGTGAAAATAAAATAAAATAAACAATAAAAGCAAAGGTGAATCAAATAGACCAATACGGCAAGGCCAGGATGGTCCATTTGGTAAAGTAAGTCCATTGGGCATCTTTCTTTGCCTTTAGACAATAATTCTGATGGCAAAAGAACCAAACGGGACAGGCAAAAAAACAAAAACAAACAAAAAACAAACAAACACACAAAAAAACAATACACACAGGTACTGTATCATGCATATGCTGTATATGGTACAGTGGAATGGACATTTGTTCCATAACTACTTGTTCTCTGTGGTAATTCTCCACAGCGACAGGATGAGGTCCTTTGGGCATTTGGCCAGGATCTCTCCAGGGCAGCACCTAGGTGATGCATTTTGGACATGCCCCACTGTGAGGAGGCCCCACAAGAGACCCGTATGTCAATATACATGTCTGCTGCCAATAAAAATATGCATCAGGTCGTGTCATCCTCACTGCAACCTGTTATTGACATACTGCACCTCCATAAAGAATATATTTGCACTGTAGATAATAAAAGCTAGAAAAACACATTATTAGTAATCATTCATTATAGTTCATCTATTTCTTAACACCTTTTCATGACAGATGAGTTTTTCTTTTTTTTTATTGTCACTGATGCTTCTGGTGAGAATATCTCATAAACAACACGAGGCAGGTTCAATATAACCAAAACCTCAGACTCACAGTAAACATCATGCCAGTGTTATAAGATACAGCATCCACAGCAGTGTAAAGTTAAGAAAGGTTTCTTCATAGTTCAGAGATCGCTCAGCAGAGAATGATTTAAAAGTGTATGTGTGAAGTGGACTGTTACAATCGATGAGAATTAGCCCACCAAAATATAATCAATGCTACTTTTTTTTATAAAGAAGGAAAACACATTCTTTTTTTTCATTTAAATATATATTTTTACATTAATTAAAATTAAAGCCCAGTGCAATGCCAGCTTCTAGCTTTGCTTAACAGTGTGTAGAACAAACCTGATGACATGAACTCCCAGAAAACTTAAACATCAGCCAAACACATCCAAGCATTGAGGGGTGTGAGCAAAAAAAACAAAACAAAGCTGACTGATCCCAAAAACAGCTGGTTATTACAATAAACCCAGGAGTTATTTCTCAGAATGTTTTACTATATTATTGGTTTATTTTGAGCAACATGAAGGTTAACAAAGCGAGAATGTTTTTCCTGAAGCAAAGTGATCATTACAGTCTCAATTGTTTGAGTTTGATCACAATTATTGACAGTCTGATATAATAAGTTGCTTTATTTGGAAATGTGCAGGGCTCATCTCTGTCATCGTCTGACAGAATTGCACCGTCAAGATGTGGCAATTCCCAAATTGGCCAGCAGGTGTCACTGTGGAGATGGGCTTCAGATTGTTTCGAAGCCTCGATGCTATTGCGGCACAAACGGTTTGAATTCTTCAGTGTTTTATGAAGCCTCATTTGGCCCTTCACTATTTACAGGGTCTTTGGAACAGAAAGGTAACAAATCCAGAGTGCCAATCACAGATGAACAGGAACAGAATCTCCTCCACTGTCTCACACACAGAAACGCCAGGCTTCAACGCAACAACAGAATCAGACTTACTGATCAGAGATGGTCTTTCTGGTTTTGAAGTGAACTGCAGCACTTTTCTTTGGGAATGGCTGCACTACAACGACTTTACGCTCAGTTCAGTTTTGTTGGCATAATCAGAGAATGATAGGTATGCACCACTGACTCATGTGATGACTAAAACACTTGCATGGTATGCACCTTACCGATTGTTTCTGTCGTGGACACTTCAGGCTTTGCTTTCAGTTTAGGTTTTCTTTCTGATTCTGTCTAGAAATCTTATGTTTTCAACATTGTGCCTCTGTACTGTTCCTCATTTCTGTTTTACTTCTAGTTGATTGTGGTCATATTGTATTGTCATTGCAGAGTTTATAATTGGGCATCCTTGCTTGGGCTCATTGTGACTCTTTAGTCATTTCTGTTTACTTCTTGTTATTTTATAATCCAGATAATGTTAAGAGTTATTTAAAGTTATATCCTTGTCTTTTTATGTATTTAACCAGCCTCCTCTAGTGTTTCCTTGTATGTCATTGTCATATCTGTTTAGTGGTTTGTTTACTTTCTGTTTTATCTGAAAGTCCCTTGTGTGTGTTTACACAGTCCTGCCCTGCCTGTCAGTCATTGTTTCATTATCTGTTTGTGTGCTCTCGTGTTCTCCTCGTGATCCTTTTTGAAAGTTTTCTTATTTTTTATGTGTGTTGTGGATTACTCCTCGACTTTACTAAAAGGTTAGTTTTATGTTATTTCTGCATTTGGGTCCTAACCTTCACTGCATGACAGTTTGCTTTGGAGGATGTAGTTTCAATGCAATGTGATGACAGTATGTGAACTTTAGTTA